GGAGTTCTGCGAAAGTATCAAATGAAGCTCAATCCAGCCAAATGTGCCTTTGGAGTCTCCTCGGGGAAGTTCCTTGGTTTTATGGTAAACAACCGGGGGATCGAAGCCAACCAAGAGGAGATAAAGGCCGTGCTCGAGATGGAAGCACCCAAAACTTTGAAACAGCTTCAATGCCTCAATGGAAGAATTGCAGCATTGAACAGGTTTGTTTCAAGGTCGACTGACAAATGCCTGCCTTTCTTCAAAGTACTAAGAAAGAAGGGACCATTTGAGTGGACGGCAGAGTGCGAGCAGACATTGGAACAATTGAAAAACTATCTCTGCTCGGCACCTCTGCTCGCAAAACCACTGCCGGGGGAGAAGCTCCACTTATACCTGGCGGTGTCTAGCAGCGCTGTCAGTTCGACCCTAATCAAGCAGGAGGGAGCGTACCAGAGTCCCGAGACCAGATATCCCCAAATGGAAAAGTTGGCCCTCGCCTTAGTCACCTCGGCCCGGAGACTTAGGTCGTACTTCCAAGCGCACACCGTCGTAGTACTTACCAACTTGCCCCTAAAGAACATCTTCCATAAGCCAGAAACATCAGGGCGCCTGATGAAGTGGGCAATGGAGCTAAGCGAGTACGAAATCCAGTTCGAGCCAAGAACTACGCTGAAAGGGCAAGCAGTGGCCGATTTTATCGCAGAACTCACCCCACCGCCTCAATTGGTCAAGTCCGACCTTCCATGGACGATCTACGTTGATGGATCCTCCAATGAAAAGGGATGCGGGGCAGGAATTCTCTTGCTTGCACCAAGTGGTGAGCGATTTGAGTATGCTCTACGATTCAACTTTCAGACTTCAAATAATGAGGCCGAGTACGAAGCAGTCCTGGCAGGCCTGCGCGTTGCCAAAGGACTGGGGGCCGTCCACATCAAGGTCTTCAGTGACTCCCAATTAATCGTAAATCAGATTAAGGAGGAGTATCAAACGAAGGACCCCCAAATGGAAAAGTATCTAGGCAAGGTCAGGTCGCACCTTGCCCAGTTCGGGACTTACGAGGTGAGTCAAGTTCCAAGATCAGAAAATTCCAATGCAGATGCCTTAGCCAAATTGGCATCAGCGTATGAGACCGACCTGGCTAGATCGGTCCCGGTTGAGATCTTGACAGTCATTCAATCCTCGATCCAGACGTGCTGGAGATTGATACTCCATCACCCTCGTGGATGGATCCAATCCTGGAATTTATCAAAGGTAATCCGCCGCAAGATTCAAGGGAGCAAAATAGGATGGCACGGAAAGCAGCTCGGTTCATACTCCGAGACGGAGCGTTATACCGACGTGGTTTCTCCCTGCCTCTGCTTAAGTGCGTGACTCTCGAAGAAGGCATTTACATTCTTAGGGAAATCCATGAAGGGGTGTGTGGAAACCACTCTGGCGCCAGGTCGTTGTCGGCCAAGGTGGTTCGACAAGGGTACTATTGGCCCACTGT